CTATTCTGTGTGGACTGGCCAATAAGAGGCATGAATTTTGAGCGGGAGAAACTTTCTTTGTCTCTTGTTTATGGCTCATTTGCATGTTTTATGGTAGGTCTGGAATTTCTGTAGTTTTAACCCAAAATATCGTACGAGTCATATGATGCATTTCACAATCACATACTGTACCTCATTGTCCGAGGAATGAAAAACAGGTAACATTGATACCAAGAAACAACCATTTGGAATAGATTAAACCAAAGATACATACATACACCTGAATATCAGTGTTTTATGGCTTTTACTAATACAAATAACGAGTGGTAACTCAGCTAATCTAATAGGGGAACGTACAAACAACACATGCAATATACCAGATATATTTGTAGAGTATAATAGAGTAACGGTCTTTATGTGTGTGGGTATTTGTGTGTGTGTGTGTGTGTGTGTGTTAGTTTACTTGGCCAGCCAGGCCCAGTTGCCTGGCCATTTTCAGCTCTTTTGGACAGTGTTTGAAGTCAGATGGGGGAGATGATAGTGGGGCTGGTTAGAATCTCCTTGACGGCGAGGAACCATTTGGCAATTTAAAACCCCTATACAAACATAACATCTCTGACCAGAACTGTAATTTATAAGCAAATGTCAAAAGGCTAAAAGGGGTCTCTTAAGCCATAAACACCTAAAGATCATGCATGATTTTACGCAGACGCTACACTGTAGTATTGCTGCCTCCGCCGCCATGTCGTGGAGATGCTGTGTGTTTCGTTGTGAAAGCGAAACTACTTTGTTTGGTCTTCCAAAAGAGGACGATATCGCTTCGTCATGCCTGGAGCTGATCCGTGCTGGTCGCTGAGGAAATACTTTGACTTCACGCTGTGGATCGCCGGATCGGCTTTCACCGTGGACGAAGCGGAGTCCAGCCCGGGGTCGTCATATGTGGTTGCCGCAGGTATCACAGTATGGCAAGGGGCATAACATTTCCGTCACACGCTCGAGGAATTCGGCTAATCACAATGCACTGGATAGCTGGCCAATTAGAGCACACCTCGCTTTTCAGACCGATGAGCTTTGTAAAAATCGATGCGTTTCAGAAAGGCGGGGCATAGAGGAGAAACAATAATGTACAGTATGTGGATAATGTGTTTTAAACTTAAACCGCATAAACACATTTCATTACACCAAATACACAAAATAATGTTGTTTTTAGCAGCTTCATATGACCCCTTTAATATCATTTAATTGATATGTAATTTTTCTTTATAATTCACCTGGAAGCTTCCTGCTGGAGAAAATTAACCAATAATGTTTTGTTTACAGGTTAGGCCATCTGTACTTTAGCAACTCAAGTTTAGTTTTGCTAAAAAATACTGTAATGAAGACTTTGTAATATTGCATTGCTATTTACAGTTTACATATTGAACCACGGACATATCACAATTTATTTGATCATTAGTCAACCCTACAGTAACAGCCAGTAAGAGCAGGCATGGGCGGGCCGACACATGTAGCCCCGCCCAGCTCCGCCTCGCTCTGCAGTTAGACGCTCCGCTGCAATGACAGGTTGTACTGCTCTTGACATCAAAGCTTAGTGTCAGTCTTTTCCGACTAATTTTACGCACCTCCATAATGGCAAGTCTTGATTAAACTGCAATGTGTGCTTCTTTCTTTTTTTTGGTTCTTGCTACTACGCGTCTAGTTTCTTAATTGCACCGATTCTCTCCTGCGAACGCTGTGGGAGATGTTGGACGGAGGCATGGAGAGATGCTCGGCACCCGATGCTACTTTAATTTTTAGTCCGCTGTTCTGCTTGCTGTCGCAGTTTGTTTGCATTACTCCAGCAGATATTGCTGGTTGGATATTATATTTTTACTCTCATACTTTCTCCATCTGGACCGATGGATCTCATACAATCTGACCTGAGGTTGCAAGAAACCCCCTTTAAAAAAAACCCTTTGAGGTAATTTTTTTATTGCAAACAGTAAAAGTAAGACACTATTTTACAATATTGTAATCTTACTATTCTGTTACCCTTACCGGTTCAAAAGGATGCTTCCAAGTAATCAAGCAAAATGATACTAATTCAATAAAATAAATATTAAATGCACGTATTTAAATATATATATATTTTTTGGTAAACTAAATAAATGTGAAAAGAATATGCTGAATATCTGATGAATATTTTTTTTATGGGAATATGAAACCCCTTGCCTGATTTCTGTGTCTACTTAGTATTACTAGATATCTTGCAGTATAAGCAATACACAGCTATTTCATACATCACAAATCATCAAAGTAAACGAAGAACAATGCCAATTGCTAGCATAGTGTACTTAATAACTATTGTATATTTAATTTGTAGCTAATGTTTTCAGATATTTGATCAAATAGATTCACTTACAGTATGATCTGTTAAACAGTGCGTCTTTCTTCAGATGATGCTGAGAATTTGCCAACATAAGATCAGAAATTGTATTTATACTGAAGAAAGCGCCTGGTCATGTGATTTATAGGAAAACATGTTGGGCCTATCGGGGCAGTGTGTAGAGTTTTATAAATTAGTCTACCTGGACCACTATGTAAAAGCAAATAATGTTTTCCCATAAATCACATGACCTTCAGAAAACAGGCGCTGCCATGAGTATAAATATGCATTATAACCTAAATGTTGGCTGGTTCTCAGCATCTGCTGAAGAAGGAAGCACTGCATCACAGACCATACTGTAAGTAGATTCATTTTGAACCTATAATTTAAACCTATTTGAAACTTGTTTCATAGATGACTTAATTAGTTAAAGACTACAAATATATGGAATAGTTTATATGTACACTGTAGGCTAACAATTTGCATTATTCTTCATTTAGAGTTAGTTTGTTTTAATTATACATTCATGATTTGTGATGCATTAAATATGTGTAAATATTTATATAGCATATACAAGATATTTACCAATATCTCCCTTTAATAAATATCCAAATGTGATATGGGGAGTTGTAATGTTTCGATACTATTAATTAATTTTCACAATGCCATTCAGTTTACATACATAGTTATCTCTATTTAAATACATTCCTCTAATGTTTATTTTCTTTAATTATAGTATCAGACTGCTTGATAACCTGGAAGATCTAAGATGCTGAAAAAAAATCTGTCTCCATTGCTTCCAGAAGAGTAAGATTATGTTATTATCTAAAGTAATTTTAGTCTTTTAAAAAAAGAGAGTGTTTTTTGACATTCACTATGACGTTCTAACCTAAATGAGCTTTCACACCGGTGTTTTAAATAATTAGTAGGCATTTATTTTAAACCTTATATGACAATCACGGTAGGTCAAATATTTGTATAATTTTCAGTATGCAATATGATTGCTCGCACAAGCCAAACTGTGCTTACTTAAGGGCCAGATATACCTAATTTGTTTTCCAAGTTCAGCTCCATCTTGCTTACAGTTGAGCATGCATGCTTTTCAAAGTATACTCCATTGACCGTTGATTGCCACCTTTCTGGCCGTCCCAAATTCTCTCATTCAGTTAAAAACAAGTGGTCTGTTATACAGTACTGTCTCTGAGTTATTTCAGTTGGGGGAGAGCAGCTGCAGTGCTTTACTTAAAAATCTATGACTGTCTTGTTGCAAGAGGCAGCGTTCACTGATCAGTTCTCAAACGGCTTGGTAACAGGGGAATGGGGGTTTGTTTTTCCCTGGCTAAACCACACCCCAGTGTGGCGGCTTGACTACTGATCTTACTGGAAACTGTTGCTATAGGGACCTCCTGGCAGAAGGTGATAATAGACAGAGTCATTGAAAGATAGTTTAAAAAAAAAATTTCAATGGATCTGACAATCCACCTTTTTCCTAATAAGCCAGCCTGGTCTCATGTTTATACGTAGATATTAATACGTAACATTTACAGGCACTAAAAGTACATTTTTGTATGTTTTTATTAGTGCTAAAACGTACAATTTAGACGTATTTCAACGTTTAAAACGTACAAATCGCTACGTATGTTTTAGCTAAAAAACGTACAAATATGTACGTATCTTTTATATCATCAAGATATTCGTATCAATGCATTTTTATAATTTTATTAATACGCAATTTAGATTTTTAGACACCTTAACCTACCCCCAAACCTTAACCTACCCATTTTATAGCGAATATAAAAGGATATAAAATGCAAATGACCAAAATATGCAGGAAAAATAACCATTTTAATAACAATATAGCATTAAAATATTTTTATAGTCTCTAATTCCATCTTGGCTGGGCGTTACCATGCGTCACTCCCGGAAAATCGAAAATGGGCAAAGAGGTGGGAGCTGGTTGCTGAAACCACGCCCACCTATCTCGACGGTGGTGACAGCAGCTGCAATCCACCTGTCCCTCAAGTGACCACGCCCTTAATTATGCAGAACTTTAAGGCTTAATATAATTTAAACGGATGAGTTATAAAAAAAATCACCCTCCTCACAGTTGTCATGAAGGGCAAAATTAGCTATATGGACCAACCCCACTTTTTGTACCAGGCTGTAAACAACAATGGGATTGACTCCCTTTTGGTGCCAGCCTCTAGCGGCCAGTCGATGAATTGCAGTTTTAGTCACTTCCGTGTTGGTTTCACAAGAGAGACCGGAAGGTTGCCAAAACCCATAGATATGAAGCTGGATATGTGTGATGCTAACATTAAAAAGCATCAGTTTTCAAATCTCCCAGCATATTAAAATTGTTTTGAAGTCATAACATAATTTTCTTCAAGTGATTATGCGAAAATTAACGCTTTATTAATCAAAACTCTGTAAATTTGTGTGAAAAGGAATAAAAGCTGTCTGAGTTTTACTGCCTCTAGAGTTCATTTCTTTTCATTTCACGTCTTGCGAAAACGTGCCTCCAGGTACGTTTTTGCCATGAGACGAGGTAGGATTTAACACGTCCGTAATATTGCTGTGATAGAATGAGGCTTTATGAGTTATTCTGAATCACAGTATGTTGAACGTAATTTGTTTATGCTTTTACACTTTTAAATTTCCTTTTAAGGTTTGATGGTTTATGGCTGAGTAAAATAAAGTCACCTAATTGTACCCAGTTTTTGAAAATGCTTATTATTATTGTGTTCATAGAGCAAACAGATTGTTTACAGTGTAACGGAAGTTACTCCCATAATTCGCACAAAACATCAAGGGGCATAGTAGAAAGGTGGTGGTGAAGCTTGATGATGTCAAAACCTGGAAGACTTATTCGCTATCTGTTTTCTCAAGATTTTCCTATGGGGTTGTATAATGGGGCTTTTCAATTTATGAGTAAAATAAGGTCTGTAGTAAACATAACTGGACGATACTTAAACGTTTTGTTCTACAGCTTAAATTTCACCCACGCATCCCAAAATTTCTTATGCATAATTTATTAGAAACATATATCTTTTAAAATACACACAACAGCTTCAAAATTGGCATTTTCACTATAGGTCTTGAATCATATACCTCTGGAAAGGCTGGACTAATAAAATGAGTCTAGTCTTTAGTCAAAATGAGCTGACATTTAGTTAAAGTGTGCAAATGCATCTGGTGGGTTAAAATGTGCAACTCAACTTACTGGGTTAAAAGAGCCTGTGTTCTGTTCAATATTTATCCAGTGCTGGGTTGCCAGTTGGGTTGTTTTTAACCCAGCCATTTCCAAGCATACATGAATATGTCCATTATAAAGAGGTTCCCCTTCAGGAATTCGAGCTTCGTCGAAACGCTATGGGAACGCCTTCAGCGTGACCACGCTCTGAATCACATGTGTAATCAGTCCGATGGATGGGCGAGACGTCACGGGCGGGGTGACGTAACGACCAGGAAGCTTAAAAACACGTGCGGTGGAACCGGCATCAGCTTTCTGTCATTCAGCAAGCGCTCTGTGTGTGTGTGTCAGTCTCTATCTTTTGTGAGTCTTATTTAGTGTTGTTTGTCCACTTAAAAGCGCCATTATGTCAAAGCTTCAGTCAAAAGAAGTATTTGGGCGAGAGCAGGCAGCGTTCAGGCTGTGTGTTCCTCGCTGCCCATGCTATATTCGGGTGGGGACACCTTGTTGACATATTGTTTGTGTGACCGAGCGGCTTGTGCACTGCCGAGGCAATGCGTGCATTACATCATTTTGGATATGAATCTTATAACACCAGACCATGTTTACTCGTCTGGCTGCATATAATTTTGAGGAATTTAATGAAGTATTTATCTGACTATGAGAAGTTAGATATACAGGGGCTCTTGGGATAACAATTTCTCGAGTATAGCACGTGTTTTCCTCGCTTCCTCCAAGGAGGCTGTGGCGGTCATCAGGGGCTGCTGGGCGGGAGCAGTCCCAACCTCTTGTCTCAGGGCCCGGTGCTGGGAGCTCCTTGTCACCGTGTAACGCTAGCGACGGACGTGTCCCTCACTGGTTGGGAAGCGGTCATGAGTGGCCGCTCAGCCTGCAGTCTGTGGAGTGGTCGCCATCTCAGTGGCACATCAATTGGCGTGTTTCTAGCTTTGAAACACTTCCTCCCGGACCTAAGAGATCACCATGTGTTGGGGCGTACCGACAACACAGCGGTGGTCCCGGACCTAAGAGATCACCATGTGTTGGGGGCTTGGGGCGTAACAACAACACAGCGGTGGTCTCTTATATCAACCACCAAGGAGGTCTGCGTTCGCGCCCCCTGTACAGGCTGGCGCACCAGATCCTTGTGTGGTCCCAGGGCAAACTCTTCTCGCTGAGAGCAGTTCACATTCCTGGGCATCTCAATATGGGAGCCGACATCCTGTCGAGGCAGGGGCAGGGGCAGGGGCCGAGGCCCGGGGAATGGAGACTTCCCCCCCAAAGTGGTGAGGCAGATATGGAGAGCTTTTGGCCAGGCTCAGGTGGACCTGTTTGCGACACGAAAGACATCGCACTGTCCCCTCTAGTTCTCTCTGACTCATCCAGCTCCTCTCGGACTGGACGCTATGGTGCAGACTTGGCCAAGGCTTCGTCCGCTTTTCCCCTGATCGCTCTGCTCCCGGGGGTTCTGGAGAGAGTACCCCCGGGACGGGGACCATCTACTGCTGTAGCCCCGTTCTGGCCAGGCCGAGTATGGTTCTCGGACCTGGCTCTCCTTGAGAGATTCCCGTCAGGAGGGATCTCCTCTCACAGGCGGAGGGCACGATATTCAACCCCCGCCCGGAGCTGTGGAAGTTATGGGTGTGGCCCCTGAGGGGGCACAGCTCGTAGCTTCTGGTCTCTCAACTGTTGTTGAGACCATTCTCCAATCCAGAGCTCCCTCTACAAGGAAACTGTATGTCCTGAAGTGGAAGTTTTTTACTTCTTGGTGCGGAGACCGCCAGCTCGACCCAGCTAACTGCCCGGTTGGTACAGTTCTGGAGTTCCTGCAGGCTCGATTTTGACCCTCAGGGTTGACCCACTCCCCACTAAAAGTCTACGTGGCAGCCATTGCGGCCTACCACGCCCCTCTCGGTGGCCAGTCAGTGGGCAGACACCCCTTGGTTATACGTTTCCTCCGCGGTGCGCTGAGGCCTCCCGCCAGAGAAGCTTATGCTAAGTGGTGGATCAGGATGCTATTTAACAGCCTCGAGTCTTCTGATCTCCCCTCGCCATTGGGGGTCAAGGCTCACTCGACTAGAAGTGTGGCGGCCTCCAGACCTTTTTAGCAGGCGTGCCTATGCAGGACATCTGCAACACTGCGGGTTGGTCCACGCCCCTCACATTTATCAGGTTCTATGGCCTAGATATGCAAGCCACTTCAGGCTCTTCTGTTCTCTCGCCCTAGCTGTGCTCTCCACACTAGTCAGGGATTTGTAATTCTGGCGGCGTGGGCATACTCGTTCCCATAGTGTTTTGACGCAGCTCGAGTTCCTGAAGGGAAACGTCTCCAGGTTACGCATGTAACCATGGTTCCCCGAAGGGAACGATACATTGCATCTCAGTGCCATACTGCGAGCACTTGCTTCATTCCTAGAAGCTGACCCCGGTTCCACCGCACGTGCTTTTAAGCTTCCTGGTCGTTACGTCACCCCACCCATGACGTCTCATCCATCCATTGGACTGATTACACGTGATTCAGAGCGTGGTCATGCTGAAGGCGTTCCCATGGCGTTTCGACGCAGCGTCTCGTTCCCTTTGGGGAACCATGGTTACATGCGTAACCTGGAGACGTTTTTACCATGCTTTAAAGGGGTTATATGATGCGATTTCATTTTTTCCTTTCTCTTTGAAGTGTTACAAGCTCTTGGTGCATAAAGAAGATCTGTAAAGTTGCAAAGAGATATTATTTATAAAAGTTAAGAGTCAGCCACGCCTACCTAAAATGGCTCTTTATAACACACGCCCACATGTCTACGTCACGATGTGGGAAGATTGGTGTATGGTGAGGGGCGTAACATTTCCGTCACACGCTTGAGGTATTCGGCCAATCACAACGTACTTGATAGCTGGCCAATCAGAGCACACCTCGCTTTTCAGACCGATGAACTTTGTAAAAATCGATGCGTTTCAGAAAGGCGGGGCATAGAGAAGAAACAATAATGTACAGTATGTGGAAAATAATGTTTTTTTTACCTTAAACCGCATAAACACATTTCAATACACCAAATACACAAAATAATGTTCTTTTTAGCAACATCATATGACCCCTTTAACTTCATGATTGAGCTAATTTATACATCATACAGGTACAACTATATTACACGTCTCTGCGGAATACTTGATTCTGATTGGTCAGTCGTGACATTCCGAGGTATGTTATCCCTCAGTAACAACCGGTAAAAGCTGATAACACAGGCTCATCTGGGTAACTGAAGGTGGCGCTGTACTCTTGCTAGGAACAGTTTTTCTTCGTGAAAGCTTTGCGTTTGGTTAGCTAATAAAATATTAAAACTCAATTCAGTATTATGTGTACAATTATTTATTTCATTCTGTCATCCTGGTATCGTGGACTTGCTCTCTCGTTTTATACAAACACAGCTGCTGACATTTTGCGACGATTGTTTTGTACACTGTAATGCAGGGGTGTCAAACGCAATTCCTGGAGGGCCAGAGCCCTGCAGACAGACTTTTGTTCCAACCCTACTCCAACTCACATACCACGTAGTTTTCAAATAAGCCTGAACGACTTGATTAGTTGGATCAGGTGTGTTTAATTAGAGTTGAATCTAAACTCTGCAGGGCTCTGGCCCTCCAGGAATTGAGTTTGACACCCCTGCTGTAATGGATTATAAGATAACTAACAAACTGGTAAGATTTTAAATTTTTTCTCTTAAATCAATATCTTTTATCTCCATAATTATTTATGTGGTGAAATGTTGTGTAATAAGTGGTATGACTGTACCGTTTCCCTTAAATGTCCACCTAGTTTGAACTTGCTGCTTGCTCGCAACTGCTTTCTTCACGGAAGATTTGTGTTCAAATATTTAAACTCAAATCAATATTTTGTGTCTAATTACTTACTTGTGTGGCAAGTAGCCATGTAATAAGCGGGATAATGTACATCCAGCCAGTTGTTATTGCTGAATAACCCCCTTCAGGGTGATATAAGTCCTGATCACCCTTTCGGGGGTTATTCTGCCATAACAATCGGCTGAATGTACATTATCCCTTACTTATCAGTTTACTTATTAGTATTACTTTTTTCTGTTTTAACATTACAGAGAAAAAAAATCAACCAGTTCAAGTGAAGAATTGAGCAAAATTGATAAAATCATCAAGAAACGCATCTTATTTGAAGATAGTAATCCTGCTCGATACCATCTGAAAGCAGAGTCTGACAATTTGGATCAATTTGGACCATATAGACAAATAACCTTTGGAGAGAGAGACAAACAGAAACCACATAAAACCATTCTGCTGGTGGGAGAAACAGGAACAGGTAAAACAACTCTGATCAACACAATGATCAACTACATGTTGGGTGTTCAGAGAAAAGACAAGGTTTGGTTTGAGATCACAGATGATCAGAGCGACCGAACATCAGCTCACAGTCAGACCTCCAGCATCACTGTTTATGGGTTTTATCTACAAGAGAGTCCAATCCATTTAACAATCATCGACACTCCAGGATATGGAGACACTCGTGGAGTTGAAAAAGATAAAGAGATTGCTGTGAGTTTGTTTAGTTTAATTAAATCTGCTGAAGGGATTCATGAAATAGATGCAGTGTGTCTGGTGATTATGGCACAACAAAATCGACTCTCTGACAAACAAATATACATATTTGACGCTGTTCAGTCTTTATTTGGGAAAGATGTTGCTGAAAACATTGTCTTGCTCTTCACACACTCATCTGGTACTCAACCTAAAAATGCTCTGGCGGCTGTTAAAGCGGCTAAAATTAAGTGTGCAGTAAATGACAAGAATCAGCCCGTGTTTTTTCTGTTCGACAACTGTCTGTCAGACGCCGCTGATGAAGAATATGAAGTGATACAAGAACATGCATGGAATCTCTGTTTCAGAGGAATGGCAGTTTTTTTTCAGTTTCTTGACGACATAAAACCAAAATCCCTTAAGATGACTCAAGATGTGTTACAGGAACAGAAGCAGTTGGAGGCAAAAATATCTAATCTACAATCACGTGTTCAAACATTGAAACTAAAACAAGATGAGCTGAAACAAACTCAAGAAGCTCTGGAGAAAAATAGGGAAGACGTAATAAACAATACAAACTTTGAGTTTGAAATTGAAGTGCACTACAAAGAGAAGATTGATATTGATCCTGCTGTAGCCAGCATGGCGATGTGCTGCAACGTCTGTGAGGAGAACTGTCATTATCCAGGATGCTGGTGGATCAGCGGTCTCTCGGAGTGCAGCGTGATGAAGAATAATCACTGTACAGTGTGCACTAATAAATGCCACTACAGAGAACATGCCAAAGAAGCAAAAATATATGCAACAAGGACAAGGAATGAGAGGAAAACATTTGAAAATTTAAAGAAGGAATATGCTAGTAAGATTAGGGATGATGAGTCTTTGGTCAATAAGCTGGAAGAAGAACTGCAAGAATTAGAGAGAGAGAAAATAAAGCTTGTGAATGAAGCTTTTGACTGTGTGGAAACTCTGGAGAAGATCGCACTCAAGACTGATTCACTGATCATACTTCAGCACATTGATTTTCTGATTGAGAAGCTGAAGGAAATCAATGAGCCTGAAAAGGCTGAAAAACTGGGAAAGATCAAGAAGAGAGCAGGAGCAGAAAAACAAAGAGCACTTGGTTACTTCACAAAACAATGTGAAAAATAAACACAAATCATCACAAAGCTTTATTATCATTGATTGTACTTACAATGTTTTATGAATCTAACATCTTTCTATCATCACGCTTGTATTTTGCTTTGGAAAAACAGCATCTGCTAAATTAAATAATGTAAATACTATAGTGATTAATTATTTTACTGGAATACAACACAAATTGACAGCAGCACAATGTATACAGTCTATTGTAAGTTACTGTTGAAAATATAGTAGTAATATTATAAAGGCAACAAATAGCACAATTTTGTTATTTATCATAAAATTATGTGCATGTAAAATTCTGTTTATTAAATTGTTGGAATTGTATTATTATGCACTACCATCTAGAGGCCATATTATACTGTACTACAGTCATTAAAGCTCTGCTTTATTCTAAATCTAGACTCTGCCATTCATCTTCTATGACACTTTTTGGCCTCACATATTTCTTCATGCTTCACTTTTTTTTTTTTTTTAAAGTCAAATAGTGTTATTTGTATAATTTATATCAATAAATTCATGTAACTAGCAGTTTTGGTTTTGCTGCAGCATTTTCTATTTATGTTAATTAATCTGCAAAATACTGCAGTAAACTGCCCTCAAATGACTCACAGCAAATATGGATGTGAATAAATATGACTGTCACAACTACACTGTAATTAAACACACAATGATAAAGATAGGAATTCCAAAATTCTTTCATCCAACACGTGGGTAATCCAAGACATGGTAGAATAAACCAGACCAGGCAATGTGGTGTCTTCTGCTTCTCATCTTAGGAACCACACTCAGTCTTGTTTTTGATGCCAGGAGATACACTTTATTACATCATCAATGATAATAAATAATAAAGCGGAGATGGCTCTCTCTGCAGCGAAAACACATCTCTAGAATGATCATCTTGTCTTCTTTTTATACATTTGGATTTGGAGGCGTGGGGTAAATATTCCATACAGTTTTTCCATACATATAATGGTTCCTTTGTGCATATCATTCTCCCTAGAGACAAAAGCCCCTCCTCTCTAGTCTTGTTATGTTAAAGAAAGCCCCCCACTTATGGTTTTTACAGATGTTATTTAAGTTTAGTTTGTTTAGCCATCCGTCATAATATCCATCCAGGTTCCTTTCTGAAATCATTTGTGGATTCTTTGGGACTTTTATCATTTCCATTTGTTTAACAGCAGCGTTGACAATTAATGTTCTTAATATAGGTAATATACAGCAAAATAATATTCCTCCTACTAATATGGTGACTCCTAAAATCATTCCTAGTTTAGCAAACCATGCTCC